ACTTCTGAATTTGCCGTCAATTTTCTGAATTTTCCGTATATTTTCCGGTATTGCTTTTAGTTTTGCTGTCAAACTTCTGAATTTGCCGTCAATTTTCAAAATTCTTCGTATATTTTCCGGTACCTATTTTTTAAATCCCATGACACCATTCTTGAATTTCATGACCTATTTTGTAATTTTCACGACCTATTTTAGAATTTCAAGACCTATTTTTTAAATCCATGATTTAATTTTTGAGTTAGATTTAATTTGTTGAATTTCATGACCTACTTTTGGAATTTCACGACCTAATTTATAATTTTATGACCTATTTTTCAAATCCATGATTTAATTTTTGAGTTAGATTTAATTTGTTGAATTTCATGACCTACTTTTGAAATTTCACGACCTATTTTTTAAATGACATGACCTATTTTTAAATTTCACGACCTATTTTTTAAATGGCATGACCTACTTTTGGAATTTCACGACCTATTTTTTAAATGACATGACCTATTTTTAAATTTCACGACCTATTTTTTAAATGGCATGACCTATTTTTAAATTTCACGACCTATTTTTTAAATGGCATGACCTATTTTTAAATTTCACGACCTATTTTTTAATTTCATGACCTATTTTTTTACATCCCATGTCACATTTTTTGAATTTCACGTCCGACTTTTATGACCCAGTTTTTCATGTTTTTAGGTCATGACCTATTTTTTTCTAGGTCAGGACCCAATTTTTTCTAGGTCATGACCCACTTTTTTCTAGGTCACAACCCATTTTTTTACAGGTAACGACCTAATTTTTTCTAGGTCATGATCCAAATTTTGATTTTAGGTCATGAAATTTAAAAATTAGGTCATGAAATTCAAAAATTGGATCATGACCTAGAAAAAATTGGGTCATGAAGTTTTCAAAAATTCAAAAATTAAATCATGGATTTAAAAAATAGGTCTTGAAATTCAATAATAGGTCATGGAAATTAAAAAATAGGTCATGAAATTCAAATATTACGTCATGAAATTCAAAAATTGTGGCATGGGATTTAAAAAATAAAACTAGAAGCATTACCGGAAAATATACGAAAAATTCAGAAAATTGACGGCAAACTCAAAAGTTTGAGGACTATCACCTATTCCGATCCATGCAACATCATCTGGCCGAGAAAAAATTCGAAAGCGGTGAAGAAGTGCAAATTTGGGTGGCGGACTATTTCGAGTCACAGCCAGAGGAGTTCTTCAAGAAAGGCATCGCTGAATTGCGGTCATAAAATTCAAAAATTAGGTCATGAAATTTAAAAATTATGTCATGAAATTCAAAAATTGGATCATGACCTAGAAAAAATTGGGTCCTGACCTAGAAAAAAAATAGGTCATGACCTAAAAACATGAAAAACTGGGTCATAAAAGTCATAAAAACTTCTGAATTTGCCGTCAATTTTCTGAATTTTCCGTATATTTTCCGGTAATGCTTCTAGTTTTGCGTCAAACTTCTGAATTTGCCGTCAGTTTTCTGAATTGTCCGTATATTTCCCGCTTTTTTCTAGGTCACGACCCAATTTTTTATAGGTCACGACCCA